AGGAATGTTTCTGAAACTGGCAAAAGTTAAAAGTCATTGCTGTGATCTTTTTTGACCTGGTCTACTATGAATTTGCATGGATTTACTTCCCTAAGCACAGCAGTCTTGTGTCAATCATGTTAGGATGAACTTATGGAGTGAAGTTGACTTTCAATAAACACCCAACAGGTCCATCAGGATGGCAGGAGAGAGCCCCATCTAAGTACACCCCACCTTTCCTCCAGAAAAAAACAATTCATATCACTCCTACAGTATGGGGTTTTTTATTATTTTTGCTTCATTAAAATTAACTGTACAGCTGGGCTCTGCTTGTTGTCCATAACAATTTGCACTATATCTCTCTTGTTTAGTTAAAACAACTGTCAGTAATAAAATAAGGGCAGGTGAATGCGTTACTATGGTCCCTGTTTACAGAGCAGAATAACAGGCACAGAAAGAGCACAGAGACTGGAAGGTCACACTCCTTGCCACGGAAATTTATCTATTTTAATCCAGATTTTGGTGTTAGTTTAATTGCTCTTTCTGGTCACCCTTTGCTGGACATGCAAAGTAAATTATGTGACTGTCTCTAATTGTGTTTTTGGCTTTCCTTTCTCTAAACATCATGTGTCTAAACACTGAAAAAAAAGAGCATTCTGAAGTCATGGGATGCAGCATATATGACCTCACTCAAACTTCCTTAGAAATGAAAAATCTGTCTGGCATGTGATTTTGACTGCTACCTGTGCTGCAGAAAGAAGAAAAGCACAAAGCTGTTTACAGTTGCTAATTTATTGTTAGCGTAGTTCGAGCCTGCTTTTGGTCAGATATTAACTGAAATAACACTTTTGTAGTTACAGATTTATTTCCTCATGAAGTGAAGTTCACTATGCAACTATGGTTTGCTAGACAGATGCTTCCACTCCCTGGCTGCCTTGTCCCACCTATGCCAGGTAGGGCCAGGAGAACACACCTGTCTCAGAGACACTAGGCACAATCCCTTCACAACCCCTCCACCTTGACAAGCTGTTGTTAGTATAAGGAGTTCTGCAGCTGCTAGAAAAGCTCAGCAATGAGAAGATGCTTTACTGGTAAACATAAAAATGAAGGGCCTTGTTTCCTCAGCCTATCCAAAACAGCCGTTGAGGTAGCAGGTGTGCATTTCTTGGACATATTTAATCTCATGCAGTACACATTTGGACTGCAATGAGGCAGCAAGCAGAACCCAAGCCATGGATTTACTTTTTGCCCATCCCCTATTCACTTAGAATGTTACCAATTTCATCCAAGTCATTCACACTGGAAGGGATCACTCAAGCCAAAGGAAGGAAGCAAGAAAAGCTCTATTTTAACGAGATACCATGCAGAAATAGGAACTATTTTACTGTTAATACAAGTCAAAACTATTTGGTTTTATACTATTATTTGGTATAATAGAATATAAATATAACTATATTAGAAGAATATAATTATCAATATATTAGCAAAACATAATACAGGCAAACTGTCCCTTCAATTTTAGAATATAATTTCTACCAATAAACTTTGGTTTGAGGAAAGCACCACAATAAAGAAATCTTATTCTTTACAAGTTCTGCTTGAACATTCTGATAGCCAACAATACATGAAAATTCTCTTGTTATAAACAGTATTAAATTTTTGTTTTCCCCAGAGTGGAGGTATTGCACATCCTTTCTTCCCTTACATCCAGTTATTGATCCATCTTATCAGCACTGCCTCAGTCACATTAGACAACGTCAAAGAGACTTCCAGGAAGAAAAACTGCTATCTAAATGAGCACAAGGAAAAAATGTTGCTCACTTTCCTTCTGCTTTACTTCATTCTCTTTCTCACCAAGTTCAAAAAAGTCTTTCTCCCTGAAAAAATTTACAGATACTTCAGCAAGGAGACAAAATGACCTGCAGCAGCACCTGCCAAAACCTAGCAATTACCTATCATTACTTTCTGCCAGAATGGACAACGCAGATCCAGATGGACTTTCTGATCTCTAACCATCTCCGTAATAAAGACCGTGTTAAAATATTGATTGAAAAAGGCCCAGATACATTTTGTTGTTAATAATCTTGGGTTACAGTCAATACTGAAATGATTAGCAAAAGAAATTTGACTGCTCTGCATGCAGCTTTCACCAAATATTGGCTGAACTTACATAGTGGCCCTGTAATCTCTAAATCATTCCATGGTTTACAGAATATTTCATGCCCCTCTATCCCTTTATTTAAGTGAATTTATGGAGTACCCATGCATGTATAGGAATGACAATGTTTTTAAAAGTTTATATACAATCATGCTGAAATCAGCTGCTAAAGAATATGGGCCAGGGCCAGTTTGGTTTTCTTCCCAAGATTCCTAAGAGTCATACCACGAATCAAGTCTGTTTTCCAGAACAGTTTAAACAGTCTTGGTCTGACAAAATGGAGATCAGTTCAGAAATAAGCCGAAATTCCCATCATCTCTGCAGACATACACAACCTAGCTGATGCTAGGGAATGTGCCTTCAACTAGCTCAAAGACTGTTGATCAGCTGTGCCTGGCAACTATTGCAAAGCACAGATATCACACTGCAAATACATGGTATATATGCATTTTGGCGGGTGAACATGTGATAGAGACTGTAAATCTTCCATTCTTTGTCAGTTCTGTGCAGGAACCATAAAGGACTGCCATAAAGGATGGACAGACACAATAAAAACTTCACCTATTTCCACAAATGCTGTATCAAGGCTGTGAGCAATTGGCCAACACCAAAGGAGAGAGCTAGTTAAAATCAAAATGGAAAGATGAAATAAGTTAAATTTAAAGTTCAGGTGGAGATTATGATTAAAGCACTGAATTTTAATAAAAGAGATATTAATATATTTTTTTCACCCTCATTCTTCTACTTTAGGGAAAGCCAGGGTTAGTTCCTTGAAACACCACCATTATCATTGCTCTTATTGTTTCACTTCGATAACAGAAGCGTGAAATGTAGAGTGGGTGAAACGGAAGTCTTGGAGGAAATTGTGGCAAGGAATATTGCACTTGGATCCAAGGAATATTGCACTTCGATACAAGGAAAAGAAAATCCTCAATATGAGAGTGAAAAGTTTAATGGAAAATGGCCCTAAGTAAATGGGTCTAGCTTATTCTGGCCATTTTTGAGTTGGGACAACTGGACCAAATGTCCTTTAGAGGCCCTTTCCAACCTGAGTTACTCTATGGTTATACAAAAGGCATCTGTGTGGCCTTACAAAAGGCAGTCTTGTATACTTATTTTTGTTCAAGGTCACTAAACCAAACAGACTTGGGAGGAAATATGAGAAAATACGTGTTTAGCCAGATTAGTTTTGGTATGAAACTAAAAACTTGTCAAACAATTCGGAGGAATGACTTCATCTAGGAGCTGTAAAAGCTCTCCATTTCCTCCTCTCCACTGTTCTAAGAAAACATACTGAAAAATCTTTTACTAAAATGCAGTCTTTATTAATAAATGGAGAAAGGTATATAAAAAGAGTAAAATAAAATTGATTCTGTAACAAGAAAAAAACAGAGGTCATGCAACAATGCACTTTGACAAAGTTAACTCCGTATTTGGTGCTGTAAGTACAGAAAGATAAGAGGGACCTTAAGATCTGAGACTTTGTTGTATAACCGAGCAAAATTATTTTCAAAGTATTAACAGGAAGCAGAAATCTTAGATGACTTGTAATAAAAATAGTTCTTGAAAGAGAGCAAAGGCCAAGTGGAGTTGAATTAGAGCCCACAACCATTTCTCCAGTGGTTCAGAAAAATACTTCCCTGCAGATTAATTTCTGCAATTGGAAGAATTCTTTTGAACATAACCATTGAAAGGGTTGTCTGACAGAATACAGAAACAGCTGGTCAGACTTCAGAAATTAAGGTCTTCAGGTTAGAGAGGAATCTTACAGTTGCCCTGAGATGCCTCTAGCTCAAATCCTACAGCTGATAAAAAACTGGCATAATCATATCTGAGCCAGTTTTCCTAGCACGAGGCAGCACGGTGGGCAGATCAGATCAGAGATGATGTTTCAGGTCCAAATGAGATTTAACTGAAAAGCTGCAACATCATCCTTCTGAAGTCAAAATTAATTCTGAGACTAATAACAAATGCCATTTCTGCTGTCTCTTTCCACACTGATAATTTTTGACAAAATATACCTCTGGAACTGCAGTCAGAGCTCTTTCAGCAAATGCTGCTTCTGAATGGAATGTACGTAAGTAACTCTGCATCCCAGGCTGACTCAGACCCTACACATCCTCACTAGGGAGACAAGTAACTGGTTTTGTGTGATTTCTGCTCTAGTTCTGAATATTAAATAAGAATGGATATGTTTTGAAGAGGCAGAAAAACATGGGCTGCAGAATTAAACTCTGTGAAACTTTAACAAATTCAATTTGTAGTCTGCTGCTATATCGACGCATTTGCCCTTTGCAATACTTACTCCAGTTAAGTTTGTCCTGAGAGTAGAGATTTGCCTCCAGAGAAGAAACAAATAATTTAGAGGAAAACACAAAAAAGTTATCTTTTAGACACTGACTCATCATTTGTAAGATTTAAAGGTGTAAAGGTAGCTTCCTGAAACTCTAATTAATTGGTAACTTTGCAGCTGGTTAGACTGAACACTGTTTGTGGCAGGGGTCATATCTTTTCACTCTCTGGGAAGCATCTGATACACATACTGTTATGCAAATACCAATAATGAGCCATCACAGTGGTAACCAACCTGATATTCCCAGATGCTTCTTAAACAGGTGATGAGGGTATATCAGAGAAGCAAATTATTTAAACCAGAACAAAACCCTCAACACTCTGCCTTTCGTAATTGATTTTCCTGTGACCACGGTGTCTTTTCCTTGCGCATTCTGACTAGCATTATTGCCAGTAGGTCCACTGGAGGTTGAGTGAAGCAAGGTACTACTAAACAAGTAAAAAGGCCATAACCTCCTGCCCCAAATCCATTTAACCTAGCAGAAAAGAGAGTATGGTGTGAGTTACTCACGGCTCAGCTTCGATGCTCTGGTCAGCAGCTATGTAGTTGGCAGGGATGTAGCCCTGGAGCTTGCGGCCAGGAGAGACTGACCCTGCTGGCAGGAGGAGCCTAGCATACCACCAGCCCTCATGGGATGCATTCAGAACTTCAAGTTTATCCCCGGCTCGGAAGCTCAAGTCCTCCTCAGTACGAGCCTCATAGTCAAAGAGTGCCACAAATCTGCAAATATTCACCAGATGCTGGCCAGGCAGTGGAGGTAAAGGTTTTTCTTTTATCTTTCTGTTGCTGTCTTTCTGTCCTGCTTGGAAGTCGTGCCTTACCACAGCAAGGTTGGTGAAGACTTGGCCGCCTTTCTCATCCTGCTCACTGTCTCTCCCTGAGAATAAGCAAGGGATGTGGGGCTCCAAACAGATGCAGTACTTCTGACAAAAGTTTCCCATCCTGGTTTCTCCTTCCTTCCTCTGCTTCTGCTTTTCTTTTGCTTTTTCCAGTTGTGATACCCTTAGAGTAATTTCTGCATCATCAACATTTTAGCTTTTTGCAAGATTTCTTCTCCCCCTCCTCCTTTGGCACAAAATGAAACAACTCTTGGCACAGCTGGAAGCTCCTCTCCGAGCCCCACTGAGAGCTCATTACAGGCAGCTCCTGGATCCGGAGTGAAACTTGAGTATCCAAGTGCCGGAGCACATGTGGAGGGAATTTCTCACTTCCTCTTCGCAACAGGAAAACAACACAACAGTTGGGCTGGGCTGAGCTTCGGGAACAACAGGGGAGCGTGGAGCCTCTTCTCCCACAGCAAAACAACAAAGCCAGAACATCTAAGCAGGGGAGGCTTCTTGACTCTTGCTGCTTGGGATGGGTGATCTCTTATCTCAGACGAGGTCCTGTCATATGATCACCGGTGAGCGTCTGTGAAGTCTGTCTTGGTAATGATTAACCAAGCTAACCTGCCTGTTTCCTTAGCAGTCTCCGACGTGGACAGCTTGAATACTTCTTTCTGTTTCCTGGTTTGGACTGATTTCGGTTCCCAGTGGGAAGTCCTTGCTCACCCAAGGCCGGCGGACGCCCTCACCTGCAGCACACCTGTGGCTGCAGCTGTCCCTCCCTCACACCCCGGTGCTTTCCCCTGACCAGTGCCCGCCCTTCAAACCAGTCCTACGGCTTTTTTTTTTTTTTTTTTTCCTCCTGAGCTGGGTTTGGCACTTTTTACAAGGAAAAATGAATACATGGGGCTTACAGTAATACAGCAATAGATTTTAATTCATTCCTTATTCTGAATTTTAAGGAAACAAAGGCACTAGCCAAACAATTGCTCTAGATGTTTGGCTAATTATACCAAGCACATATAGAAATAATGGCTCTCTTGCAGTCACCAAGCCAATGAAAGTAAGTTGACCAGTATGTTCCCATTTCTAAAGCACCTATAACCTGGCATACAGACCAAGCACGGGTGTCTGGACACTGCTGCAGCAAAGCAGCCTGGAGAACCATCTGACACATGCCAGAAGTACAGCCTGAGCTTTAAAACAGCTGGAAATTGCCACAGCCCAAGGGACACACAATGCTTGGAGCAGGAGCAGGAAGCACAGGAGATAGCTGAGATAGCCTATCTGCACCATGCGGTGGCCTTTCAGTAAGAGGCAAACTCCTACAGATAAGAGGTCAATAAAAACCCACACAAGGCCCTACCACCTTCTTTATAGGTGATAAAGAAAGCTGTCTCCCATAATTATTTTGTTGTTGTTATTGGGAATAACTGCTGTCTTTCTATACCATTCACACATGCATCTCAGCTCCATTTAGAGCTGCTGACTTCTGGTTCTTTACTTTACTAGAAAAAAAACAAACAACTAAATAACTTGGAAACCAAAGCCACTTAATTTCACCATGTCTCTGCCTCAGTTCTTTTCATCACGAGACCAGTGGCACAGGCAGAAGACCGCTGATGGACTAGGGACTGTGGGATGACTAAAAGGAGTCTCCACTGAAAGTTTATCACTATCAGGTGCATCTCTGCTGAAGAGAGATGGGGAACTGCTTTCTCAGTCCTCTTCTGCAATGTGGCAAAGGAAACCGAATAAAGGAGAAAGTACCACGCACATCAAGTGACCACTAAACCTCATAATCTGTAGTGAACCCTTTGGGCCTGATCAAAAAATGGCACATTGATTTCACAGATTATGAAAATCATATTTAGTTTATGAAGCACCACTGGAGATTATTTTTCCCCACAGCAATTATAATCACTACCCAGATCAATAAAAGCACAGATATCCAAGAGATATTCACTTTTTAAAAGTCTGATGGACAATATCCAAAGCTGTGAAAGGCCTATGTTGAAAAACAAATCTTCATTAGTCTTCCTTCAGGAATTATCTACATTTACTGAAAACACAGAATATTATAAAAGATGTATTAAATAATCTGGTTTTTACAGTTTGTATATTTGATAGTTTTCCTGTAATGTTTTGTGGTTCTGGCAACTTGGGCATTAAACTGGCAAAGATTTGCATTCATGTTTACTGGACAGAATATTTTAATCGTGACAATGAAGCCACTTACCTTGTACAGAATCAACCTCATGCACAGCTCTTTTCAGGATCAAGACCCATCTCTACACTCAAGTACCAGTATATATATACATTAGAAAGCACACTGCATCCACTGAGACCATTCAAATAAGTATTTGTAACTGTAGCTAGAATGGGACTTAAGCCTACAAACATTCATGTGTATGAGTGTCAAACAAACCCAGGCATTAAAATCATCTTCTCTCCCAATTTTTGCCCCTGCTTGGCTTTGCAAGAACAGGAAGACTTTTGCTGGGGGTGATTAATAACTATTAATCAGATTGCTCTCCTCCTAAATAACTCTTCAGGATCTGTTCTTTTTATGAAAGGAGTGGACTTTAACAAATAACCATGAAATTCATTAGTCAGATTTAAAACTCTCCTCAGACAGAGGAGTGGGGATGCTGAGAACTGCTGAGCAGATTGCTGAGCCCATGTAGGACAAGACCTTGGTGGCCACACTGCAGCAGTGCCTCTGCAAGGTTCTTTGTTCCCATCCTGGTGACTTTATTGAGGATTCTTTGCATTTCTGAAAACAAAGCAGTACTCTTTATGTTTTAGAGACTATATAATTTTATCACAAGCAAGAAAAAAATGAACATGTAATCAAAATGTTCTTGCTGGTTTTACTGAAAAAAAATATAAAATCTGATAAATCTCATAATCCTAATTTTCATACTCACAGTTTGGAACAAATGAGGATAACCACATATATTCAAGGGCTTTTTCAAGATAAACTATTGTCCAAGTCATCTGCACTGGTATTACATATAATTTAACAGGATAATCTTTGAAGCACTTATTTCTGAGCTTAATTTAGTTCTCCTGCCTTGCATCCCACTACATTTTGTTTTTGCAAAAGGGGGCCAAACAGATCTGTATCACTTACTGGCCCACTGTACCTTTACTTAATTTGTTTTGGAGACTGTCAAATCAGAAATTGTCCAAATAAATAAGGTACTGGATGTAAAGTGACTGTGAAAGACTTAATCAGATATATTGATGAATTTCATTAGAAAAAATGCTTTGAGAAGGACAGAAGAGTCTCACTTCATTCTTACAGCCAGCAATAGCTAGCAAGAAAGATGAATTTATTATAACCAGAATGGCACATTTACAGTATGGATACTGAAATTTAGTATTCTGGTCCTTATATTATTAAAAAAGCCATTAATATTGCAAGTAGTTTATTGAAATATGCAACACCTTAAAACAAAGCTGGATCATTTACAATCTCTCTAACAGGATCATATAAACTTAGATTTTAGAAAAAGTAACAAATCTATTCAATCAAGTAGTACTTTCCCCCTTCAAATTAGGTAATTCCCCATTGCTTTTAAAGTATATTTCCTTGTTCTATAAAGAAAACAGTCCACACTGATGCTATAGGTTTGAGGATGACGGACACCTGAAGTTACTTTTTATATTCTGCATGTTGCTTACAAAGTCCTACATAAGTAGGACTCTTGCAAGGAGCCTTACCTCTGCTTAAAGGATTAATTTGCAGTCCTCTAAATCCATTAAATCAAATTCTAATGAACTTAAAGTCAATATTCATTAGGTCTTGTTTATTCTACAAAACAATCATGTTTAAACATGGTGGTGAAACATATTTCTCTTAGTTGCCTGAATGGTCAGAACAATAATGTGTTAATATGATATGTTTTAGTAAGCCTAGTACAAACGTAATCTGCAACACTGATATTAATTGAAGTGCTCTTGGAATGAGGTACTGCTCTGCATGAATCCAGGTATCAGACAGAGTTGTATTAAATAAGTACAGATAAGATTTGAATCTGTAATATTTCAAAAGTCTTGCTTTGATAGAATTTTTATTTGTCTTCCATGCTTTCAAAAATTATTTTGTATGAGATTTCATTATGGATATTTCCTGTCTTTATTGATTTGTACGTGCTCTGTATGGAACTGTCGGTATAATTACATAAAACCGTAGTTCTAGGAAAAATGAACTCTCCTCCACCTCACAAATATGCTGCTCCATATTGCAGAGGCAGGGAATGAACATCTCAAAGCATCAGGCTTTGGTAATGATGATATATGATGTTTGAAAAAATTGCCCTATGCCATGCACAGAATTACAGTCAGAATGGTGCTCTGCTGAGGAAAAAAGAATATCCCAAGGTAATATCCACCAATAGTTTTGTTAAGAAATAGGAGTCAGTTCAAACTGGAAATTGAAAAAGAGTGGCTTTTCTTAATAATAAGATGAGATCACAAGAGAAACAAACATTTTCTTCTGCAATTATTTCAAATTTTGTAAACAGGAAAAAACTCCAAGTGGGAAAATGAGAAATTTAGAAATAAAGTACAAGAATCATAATTAAATAATGTATGAAACTGCTGCCTGCAGCATCACTTTCTATATTGTATAATCTCTTTCAAGTCAGTAGTTACACTGCTGCATTAATATATGCTAATTTAAATACTTGACATAATATACCTCATTTAGAAAAACTTCTTAATGCATTATGAAAAAGCAAGACAAATGTTCCAGCAAAGTAAAATATTCAAATAATATGATCTTTAAAGAAATTAGAAGAAAAGCAAATGCATGCTGCTCTGAATCTGTGTTTAGAAAATAATTTAAAGTATTAAACATTTTAAAGTCCTGTTGTTTTTTTAAGGTAACAAATTGAAGTGAAGCACAGTGATTTTTTTATTACAGCTGTCTTTTCAGCTACATTTCTTCCCATTTGCACATTAGAATGGAACACATTACCACCACTTTGTAGCTTTTTTATAATCCTTTTAATCAGCACTTCCATTTTGCTTCTGTAATTTGCAAATTGCCATTCTCTTCAATGAAAATAAATTATGTGCACAATTTTTCTCTTGACAAAATTGTTTAC